AAAGGCTTCTCTTCCAGAGGAGATGGAATTTTGTATGTGAAGAAGAATAAGGCCTCTTTGGTTGGAATGAAGCATGCGTGAAGGGAAGCCGTATGTATTTAGTCTGAAAAGGCAGGGCTGGAGCAAGATTGGGAAGGGTTTTAAAAGCCAAATAGAGGAATCCTGGAAGCCAGAGGGAGCCCCTGGAATTTACTGAGTAGGGAAGTGACAGGGTCAGATGACTGCTTTTGGAAGATCACTTTGACATCTAAGTGGAAGATGGCCTGGAGTGGGGAGAGACTTGAGGTAGGAGGCTAATGAAATGCCCTCTCTAGGCTTGCTCTTGGTGACCTCAGTTCCCATAAGTTCCATTATCATCTCTTTGTAGATGGCTCCCAGATCTCTATGGCCAGCCCCACTCTCTCCACTGAGTTCCTGTCCCACATCACCAATTATTTTGCTTGATGTGGAATTTCAAACCACGTGGGGTGGAGGTGTGTCACACCTCCCGGCTCAGATGTGATGCTACCACTCGCCCAAAGGAGGAATGGGCTGAGTCATCACTCTTTCAGTTTTGAGTCGTACACAGAAGAAGCTTGAGCTTGAGTGAGGAAGGCTGGTCTTTCCACACTCCCAGGGCCAGGCTCTTAGAACATAGGCAATTAAGCAGAGTCTCCAGTTTCTGAATCTGGTTCTGAGTCTCATGTGCATAGAACTAATTTGGATGATGGTTTTTCAGACAATATTTGACAGGCTTATACATTTCTCATAACTTCCACTTCCCCCATAGCTAGGGGTCCTCTGCCCTCAAAGCTATTTGGAATTCAGACACTCCTGTGTTGGTTTAGATTGCTATTCTCCAGGGCCTCCAGTGCCAGAGAATGGGAAGATGGAGGCCAAAACCCAAAGAAGCCAGCTGATGAGGGCCATGTTCCCAACCTCAGTGTAATAGATTCTTGCCTTGATTATGTCTATGGGGATGGTTGTCAGCCAAGCCACTTTTGAGCTGCCCTATCCTGAGATGACTTTTAAAAATAAAAACAGTTTATGAGTGTCTTTTATATCAGAGGCACTTGACTGCCTCTTCCTCTCCCTCCCCAGAGCTGTCCTTGTGACAAAGAAAACCAATAAAACCCAAACATTTGTAGTGCTCCCAGCCCCCACTCCAATGGGCAGGTTAGGTTGCTAAAGGGTATTCCAGACCACAGAGGGTTCCATGGATTTTCTCCATGGGCTGGCCACTCTGACAGGACTCTATTCACGACCATTCTCTGATCATGCATTTTGTTCTGCCACTCCAGCACCTTTGCTCATTCCAATCTTTCCCTGTTCACCTAGCCAAGTCAACTTCTCCCCATGCTTACAGGCTCTGACACCGAAAACCCTCCTCTCTTTCCTGCCCATTCCAGGTCTTCTCCATTTGAATGCAGAAGACTTTGAGTGCCAGTATTTGGCGACTAATCAGACACTGATCTGCAATCACAACATCTCCCTCCTGGAACTGTAACACAGGGACTGGCAGGAGGAGGAGGGGGAAGAAGAGGAGGAGGAAGAGACAGCTGGAAAGGAGTGTTTGGAAACCTGGTGGCTGGGAGGGAGGAGGCTGAGAAGGCTGGGATGGGATTTTTCACTTCTCTTTCTTTCTGTCCTGGCACCAGGGACTAGAGCTAGAACATTCTTGAATAGAGGATGAGAGAGGGACCGTAGCCATGACAACAAGTGCTCACCTCCTCCCATCTCCTCTCAGTGTTTATGGTGGTGGGGGATGGTGGGGGTGGGGGTTGGGGTGGGAGAAGCAAGATTAGCTCCGGATGCCTCAGTAGAAACGTAGGCAACAGGGAGCGTGCAGCATTCAGTTCCTCCCCTCTCTTCTCTTTTGCCATCTCTGCCTTGTGATAGAAAATGGAGGAACTGGCAAACCGTAACAGCCAGAAACGGAGGGAAACTTAGTGAAGAAGGTTTTTTCCTAATCCAACTTTTTTGCAACTCAGGAAGGAGGAGCCCAGGAGGGCAAATGTAATACCTGCAGGGCTCTTTCTTCCCTCTTCTCCCTCTCCCATTGTGAACCACTGACTGAGGATTGAGAATAGGAAAAGGAGTGGGTAGAGAAGAATGGTGGAGGGTTGGGGGACTTTGCATAGGAGTGGGGCACAGGCAGCTAACCCTAAAGCTCATTGGGCTTGCTGATAGTGCAGATGGATCAGTCTGACAGGCCGGCTAGGAAGGGCCAGAGGAACTGCCTCCTCCCTTTCCCCTCATGGGCTAACGCTTGCGGATGGGACACGCAAGAAGAGGAGGAAGGGTGGGGAGAGAAGGGATTGCACCCCCCCCCCCCTTTTGCAGTAGGGAGTGTGCTCCCTCCTCATTGGGCTTATTGATGGTGCAGAGGGAGGAGTCTAACTGGGTAGGCTAGGAGGCTCTGGAGGGGCTAACTCCTCCCTCTTCTCCTCCCTTTCCCCTCATGGGCTAATACGTGGGGATGGGACGAGCTAGAAGAGGAGGAAGGGTGGGGAGAGAAGGGCGGCCAGAAGGACTTGGGTGGGGGTGTCAAGGTTTTCCTCTCCTCTGCTGATGGCGCTTGGGGGCCTGTGTAGGGCTATACCCCTCATGCCTCCCCTTCCCCTGTGCTGCTGCAGACTCTGAGAGGAAGGATCAATCAGTGAACCACGAATGGGAATGTCGTGGGCAGGGGTGGGTCATTTGCTTTGTCTCAGGCATAAAGAGCGAGGCAGGGACAGAAGGTGGAACATGGGAGTAGCAGAGCTCAGAGGTTTTCCTGCCCTTCTCTCTCCCCTGATGGCCCAGAGGGAGGAGTCTACCTGGGAAGCTTAGGAAGCTAAGGATCCTCTCCCCTCCCTTCCCTTTTTCAAGCCAAAGAACAAAGGTGGTACATGCTAGAAAAGGAGGAAGGGCGGGGAGAGAAGATGGGCGGGGCCCCTCTTCCTCCTCATTGGGCTTGCCGTGGCGCAGAGGGAGGAGTCTGATTGGGAAGGCTAATAGGGCTGCCTCCTCCCTCTTCTCCTTCCCTCCCTCTGGTGAGCCAATGCCTGAACATGGAACATGCTAGAAAAGGGGGAAGGGTGGAGAGAGAAGGGCAGCCAGAGGGACTTGGAGGGGCCCAAGTGAAGGTTTTCCTCCCCTCTGCTGATGGGGCTTAGGAGGGAGGAGCCTGTGTAAGGTTAGGAGGAGTGGCAGAGGAGGAGTGGGTTTTTGCTCTCTGTCCCTCCCATGCTTCCCCTTCCCTGGTGTTGCTGCAGGTGCTAGAAAGAAGGATGAATCAGCGAACCCAGGGATGTGGATGGGTCACCTGCTTTATGCCAGCCAGTGGAAGCAGAAGAAGGGCAATGGCGTTAGGGCTTCCTCTCTCCCTTCTTCCTTCTCTTTGCCCCTGTTGATACTGGTAGAAGATAAGTAGCAAAGGACAGAAGCTGGGACTTAGGGTGGGGGGCGGGTAGCAGGGCTCAGAGGTTTTCCTGTCCTTCTCTCTGGCTGAGAGAAGAGTCCATCTCTCCACCCTCATGAACCAGTGACTGAGGGTGAACTGTACTGGAAAAGGAGGAAGGGTGGGGAGAGAAGGAAGATTGGCGGGGGGCAAGGTTTTCCTCCCTCCCTTTCCCCTTCCCCAAGCCCCGCTCCTTCCCTTTTTTGCCTCTTGCTACTGGCGGCGCTGAGGAGGGAGGAGCCTTCGAGAGGCTAGGATGATGGTGAGGGAAGGAAGGAGGGGGTGTTGCTCCCCCCCCCCCCCGCCGCTGCAGGCACCTGGGGGAAGGGTGATTGAGGGACAAGCCTTGCTAAAAGACTCCTCTCTTTCTGCAGATGGTGTTGCAGGAGGGAGTAGTCTCGAGGCTCAGTGGCAATTTCTCTGCCTGTCCACTGGGCTCAGAGTCAGGAACCTGAGCTTGAACAGATCCTGCCTCCAACCCTTGGTGGTTGTGTGGCCCTGGGCCAGTCCCTGAGTCTGTTTCCTGATCTGTAAAATAACAGCACCTTCCTCCCAGGGTTGTCGGGAGGCTCAAATGGCAAGGGTTCCCACTATGTGCCGGACGTTGCGCCAGATGCCCCCCACCCCCCACTAAGGGTCTGCCCTGCTGGAGTGGGGCAGGAAGTAAAGGTGGGGACCAGTCCTGTCAAGGCTTGGCATTGAGGCATTTCCTGCCCTTGCCGTCCTGCCCTGCAGCTGATGCCACTGAGCGTGAGGCAGAGCTTTGTTAGGGTGCGTGGTAGGACAGGGTTTCTCCAGTCACACAAACCTTCATTTTGAGGGCCTCGGGCAGAGCCGTCAAACAGTGAGCAGGCTAAACCTGGTGACCTCTCTGGGGCTCCCTTGAGCCTCCCGAGTCTATGGTGGCAAAGTGGAGCCCAAAGCAGGCTTGGCCAGAGTGGCAGTAAATCCAACAACCCTAACCCTAACCCTAAATGCCTCCGACTCTAGTGCTAGTGACGTTGGGGAGGGAGGAGCCAGCAGGCTGGAGCTGGACAGGGGCTGCAGATTGGCGATATGCTTTCTCTCTTTCTCCTCTTTCCTTCCCTCTTGCCTTGGTTCCCACAGTCTAGGGCTCCCATCTGCCAGCCTAAGGTGGAGAGACGTGGGCAGGAGCTGTGGCCACCAGGGTTCTCTTTGTCTCCCTGGAAGACTGGAAGGCTGGAAGGTTGGGGGTGTGAGATGTGAGGGGGGAGGGGGAGGTGGGAAGGGGGGGAAGGGTAGTGGCCGGGAAGGGCCCTTTGTCACCAGCCCTAATCCCCCCTCCCTCCCCTTCCCCTGTGCTGCCCTGGGCAGTGAGGAGGCAGCAGCTGCAGCCGCAGCAATTAGGGTTAGGGTTAGGGTTAGGGTCAGCCGCAGTGGCAGGTGCTGCCACCACCCTAAATGCATGCCCCCCTCATTCCTGAAGGTCTGCTCCTTGATGACAGGGGTGTTTTCTCTCTGGTCTTTGTGGCTTATCCTCAGCCCTTAGCACTGTGCCTGGCGCAAGAAAAGGGCTTAGTAAATGCTTGTCAATGGATTTAATTTGATCGATGGCACTCCAGCCCGGCTGGGTTACTGGCAGACCCCTGAGCACTTCCATACCTGGCCGCCTCTGAGGTGCTGGGAATGCTTAACAACCGGCTCTGTAAGAGGGACACACTTTGAAGTTGAATCTGCATTATTGACATGGACTCTACCACTTCCTCAGCTCTAGTCCTCAACAGAACAATCCCTGAAGGGATTTTGCCAACTTCCTTGAGTTGTAAAGGCTTCCAGAGGTGTCAGATTTGCCAGTGGTTGGCTCCAGCTTCCCCTGCCTTTGTTAGCCCTGTCTGTTCCCTGTGCCTGCTATGGCCTGCCACCCAATCTCTGCTACAGTCTTCCTAGCCCTCCATGGTGCAGCTCCCTTCTCCAGGGAGCCTTCTCTGCTTCCCTCAGCTAAGAGAGGTGGTATTTCATCCTGGCCTTAAAGGGCGACTAGGATTTCCCCAGGGCCGGGGCGGGGGGGGGGGAGGCCTGGGGGGGCATTCCAAGTGGTGGGTTTAGCACACTGAGGGTTTAGTGCATGGTTGGGTGTGGTTGAAGGGGCACAGGAAGTGAGGCTGGAAAGTAGGTTGGATTTGGGACCAGATGGGAGGGCCCCAAGTGACCTCGAGCTTGATTTTAAATTTGAGATAGATGGAAAACCAGCTGTACCGAATAATTCTCATGCCATATTCCTTCCAACTGACACCTAGGATCATGATGGGGGGTGGGGTGGGGGTGGTCAGAAAGAGAACTGGGACTCTCCTAGAAGAGCCACTCTACCGTGACTCTGCAAACCCCTTGAGAACCAGGGACATCACTACTTGGCAAATGTCAAAGACAGGGAAGGGTCCCTCACGTACACTACATGTTTGTCTCAGCACTTATGGTAACAGAAGACTGGAAACAGCACTGGATGCCGTCGACTGGGGAACAGCTGAAGAAACTGTGGTGTCTTCATGTAAGGGCGTCTCGATACCCAGGAAGAAATGATGAAGATGTGGAATTCTGGGAAGCTCAGGAAGACCTGTATGAAGGGTTACTGATCCTAGAGAACCATTGCTGCAGAGGCCAAGACAGGAACACAGACACTGAAAGACATCAGGACTCAGAGCGATGCCATGATCAGTGCTGACTCCAGAGGACTGATGGTGAGCCTTGGCTCTCTCCTCTCCACAGAGAGGTGGTGGTCTGTAGGTGCAGAAAGAGGCACATGTGTTTTGACTGCTCCCCTCACTTAAGACCCAGCACCTCTTCTCTTCCTGCTTTGGCATGTGTGAGTTTGTGCTGTGTGTGTGTGTGTGTGTGTGTGTGTGTGTGTGGTGTGTGTGCTGGTAGAGGCAGAGGTGGCATGTGGGGTGTTGGTGGGGACTGCGTCAATGTGCAGGTCTTGGAAGGGTGGTGGCCAGGGAACACATTCAGTACTAGAGTGGTGGCTGAACAGTCCAAGAGTTTGGTGTGCACTCATTCAATGCTGGCTAGGTGGCCTGGAGTCAGGAAGACCAGAGTGCTAATCTGGCCTCAGACACTTACTAGCTGGGTGACCCTGGGCAAGTCTCTTCACCCCATTTCCCCCAGTTTCCTCATCTGTAAAATGAGCTGGGGAAGGAAATGGCAAACCACACTTCTTTGCCAAGAACGCCCCAAATGGGATCATGAAGAGTTGGACATGACTGACATGACTGAGCAACAACATTCAATGCCGTCATGTCTCCTTATGCTCCCCCCCCCCAAGCCCTCTACCATGTTCCCTCCTTCTGGCTACTACAGTCTGTTCCAACACCGGCCAGTCCTCTAATGAGATTCCATTACACATCCCATGCTACCAAACTTGACTCAGGACAGTGAGGGGCAAGTAAAAGAAACATACCAGGCCCACCTCTAAAATCCCAAGGGTCCGTCTCTCTACACTCCCAAGGGACCACCAAGCCTCAGCTGTAGCCTGGTTCTCAACAACCCAGCCTGGAAGGGAAGGCAGACTTCCCTCTCCCCCCCAGCCAGAAATGTCCAAGGGAGAGGCTGTCCCTCCAAGCTTTTCATTCAAAAGCTAGCATGCCACCACAGAGTGGTAGAAAGTGATGCTGTAGATAGAGCCTTGGGCTTGGGATCTGGAAGACTAGGATTCCCTCCCGCCACTCTTATCATCTGTGTGACCTTGGGTAAGTCTCCATACCTCCTCTGCTTACAGTTCTATGCCTCTGGGGATACAGATCTCCCCAAATCTGGAAATTGAGGATGCTGGACCTGATGTCCTCCAAGGTCATTTCTGGTCCTCAGCCTGAGTCCTGGCTCTTACGTTGCAGGAACACAGAGTGAGGGTTCTAAGGCTCCTGAAGAAGGCCCGAGGCACTGGCTCCTCAGTCAGGCCTGACTGCCCCTGAGAGGCCTGCCAGTTCTGCTTTGCTCCCTGCTCTGGCGTGGGGTGCCAGTGCGATTCTGCCCACCCACTACATGGCGTGCTCTGTCCATGGCCATTCCCCCACATGTGCCTGTCATCATGCCTGTCCTTGGGAAAACCTTTGTCCAGGCCCCCGTCTGTGTCCATGCCCGTATGTGTGCCCGAGTTCATTGCCCAGCCTTTGGTCTGGGCCTTTGCCCTTGGCCTGTCAGTGCTCAGTCTTGGCTTGCAGGCCCTGCCTTGCCTGTGCCCTATCTCTTGTTTTTGTCTCTGGTCTGGCAGAGGGACAGTCAGGAGTGCAGGAAGCAGTATGCTTCTCCTCCCCCATGTGGATGTTGTCCTGGGTTCCATTTCTTGTGCTCTGCTACCACCTAGTGGCCGCAAACATAGCCTGAAGCTCTTAATGGCAGATGGTGCTATTCCCTTTACCTTTCTAGAGCCCAATTACTCTTGCCCACCGTGGAGGAGGACAATTTGAGGCCTAGAACCCTTGTTTCCCTGGTCAGGAGCTTCCTTAGGCATGCCCAGTGACAGCTGGGAAGAAGAGAGCAAAGTTGAGAACAGAAATCCATGAACTGCCAGTTCCAAGGAATACCCCCTTTGTTGTCCCGCACCAAGCCCCGAAGCAAGGAGTGTACCAGCTCCTTGTGGGGTGGGGGTGCTTGCCGGGGAGCTCTTCTGGGCTCCTTCTGGAAGTGCCGTTTGTGCCCATGCCAAGCATCTGGACTGTAGGCATGGGGTAAGTCTTGGCAGAATCTCCATTACTTCTTGGGACTAGACCTGGGAGGGCAGCAGACTACTGCTGTTATCAAGTCAATAACTGCCTCAGTTCCCTACGTCTTCGAGGAGTCACCAGCAAACTTGATTTGGACCGTCAGTGAATGATCTAGCATTCAGGAAGGCATCTTCATCTCATTATATCCAAACCACATCTCAGTATCTCTCCTGTGTCCCTGACCCTCTTCTCCCAAATTTGTTGTTGTTTGGTTATTTCAGTTGCGTCTGGCTCTTCATGACCCCATTTTGGCTTTTCTTGACAAAGATACTGGAGTGGTTTGCCATGCCTTCTCCAGTTCATTTTACAGAAGAGGGAACTGAGGCAAACAGGTTGAAGTGACTAGCCCAGGGCCGCACAGCTAGTAAGTCTCTGAGGCCAGATTTCAACTCCAGAAGATGATTCTTTCTGACTCCAGGACAGGCACTCTTTCTGTTATTTCCGGTAGTTGGCCCCATCCCCACGTTTGGCCATCAGATGGTTCTCTGCCCATCTTCGAGTAACCTAAGCTCTTATGCCTTCCACTTGCCTTGCATACAATGTCACTCCAGTGAATAGAGTCTAGATCAATGTCAAACAGGTAGCCTCATCCAGAAGGTATAATGTGATGATTAAAGAGATGAGAGTAGACAGGGAAAAGACAGGTAGATGGAGAAGAGTAGAAAGATGAATAGAAAGGAATTGAGGGAGAAAAGCTTTAAAGTGTATGGAATAATTTCCTTCTACCAACCCTATGAGGTAAGGAATAAAAGTGTAGCAAGGACTATTCCATCCCATGTGGCATGGGGGCACAGTTGTGTGTCTTGAAGGGATGCAGAGTAGACATTTGTAACCTGGTCTCCTCCCATTATTCTCAAGGGGAGGCTTTCATTCCAGCCATGAGGGGAAACAGGAGGTTGTGGCTACAGCCTGCCACTCTCCTCTCCTCTGAGAAGAATACTGGACTAGAATTAGAACTATCTGATCCTTTACATATTATTGGTCTGGCCTAGACTAGACAGGGGTCAGGAACCTGCATCCTGGAGGCCACCTAGGTTTTCAAGTGCAGGCCCTTTGACTAAATCCAAACTTCACAGAACAAATTCCTTTAATAAAAGGATTTGTTCTGGCTGGGATTCTTATAGTCTAGCCAATAACTTACTAATGTTCAGACTGCTTAAGAGTCTGCCCAATATGATAGGTGTTCTAATAAACCTTGTCTTTGGCTGAAAGAAGGCTTGGGTCAAATTCTTTCAGACAGGACCCACATGTTGTGATTTTGGGGTCCCAGCACCCCTAACCCACATCATTTTGGTGGCCTGCATGGGGAAACTGCCTAACCCCAAGTTCTTCTCCAGCCAAGACTGGAAGGTATGTAAGCCTCCCTCCTCCCCTCCTTTCTTGCTCTGCAGTTGGGGTTGCTCTCCAAGCACCAAGGCTTGGAGGTGCTTGTCGGGCAGACAGTCTCTCATTTGGCCTGATACTCTCAGGCTCTAAGTCCACTGAGTTGGTTCGAGGCCATGGTCTTGGGTGCACCTTCCGCAGCATGGAGGACAGGGACGGATGCCCTATCAGGAAGTGTATGCTCAATTCTGTTAATTCCCTTGGTGCTAGGGAATTGGGGAAAACTGCAGATGCTTTTTGGTTCCCTGGGGCTTGCTTGCTCCCTTCCCTCTGCACCTCTGAATCCTCCTTCAAGGAGGTTGCAAGGAAAGTTGGAACAGCTGAGGATATCTTGGAGGATTCAGGAAGTTTTGTGATTGATCATTAAGGAGTTTTGAAACACCTGTGCCTGGTTCTAGTCAGCCTCCTCTTTGGGACCCACTTGAGGCAGGGACAGCTCTGTGCCCCTTGCCAGTGTGTGGGATGCCACTCAAATTAAAAAAAAACACCCAGAGGTATCCAAGGAGAAACAGAAAGTTAATTTGTTATTATTTCAAATCTTGAGATTTGGGTGTCCCTCCACCAGTATGCTCTGATGAGGGGAGACAGAGTACAGGAGCTAAGAACCAGATTAAATAGCCCTAACAGGCAAATTCCCCCCTCCCACCAACTGTTTACTGTACTGTATAGCCAGGTCACCACGACCAAAATATAGCGACAGGTGTATCAACAAAATACAGAGGGGGTTTCAAGGGTTTAACAATGGCATAAAGCAGGGGAGTGGGGCACCTGGGGCTGGATTCCCTTAATCAGGTGATTTCTAGTAAACAGAAACTTAGGCCTGTCAGGCTTCTATGCCTGCCTTGAGTCTAATACAATTTCTATTTGTTCTTCTAAGAAGTTTTCACGGGACCCCTCATCCCACTCAGCCTTATCCCAAACCTTAATTACACTGAGGAGTCTTCACTGGGACATCCCATTCACCAGCAGGAGGCGGTTTCAGAGGCTGAGACCTTCACCCTGTGAGAGATGAGCTCTCAGAGGTGAAGCTTCCTCAAAAGGTCAATAATTTTTGATTGTTTGCCCTTGGCTTCTGGCCTCTTTCCTTGTCTTTGAATTTCTCACCTGGAATGTAAGCCCACCTCCCAGTTAAGGGGATAGGAAGAAACTTTCAGCTTAGAATCTAAGTCCCACCTCCCAGTTAGAATGTAAGCCCACCCCCAGTTAAGGGGAATAAGGGATAGCGGTGGGTGGAGACTTGTTTGCATGTGGGCGGGGACTTGTTTTTATAAGGTGTCCCTTGTCCCGTGATCAGTCTCTCTTTCCACGTCTATCGAAGGAGCAGACAGCCATCTCGAGATTGTAATAAAGGTAACCTTTGCTTTCCACCTTGAGAAGTCTCTGAGTTTAATTTGGGTTAGGGTCGCTGTCCCACACAACCCCTTACTGGGGGAATTTGGATCCCGTTTGTTTGAGGGAGGGGGAATGATGGGGTTGGGATCTGGACCCCAGAAAGGAAAAACATTGGACTTTCCCACAAGGCCAGATCTCTGGCATTCCCCTGAGGCTGTAATCCCATCAACTGGCCTTTCACTGTGGCTACACCCAATCTACCCTCCATTGTCTTGCCTCCCTGTAGCCCCAGGCCACTTCCCACCCTTGGTAATTCTATTACCTCATGGACTGCTTGGCCACTCCTAGATCCCTCCCAGTATGGGGTCCATCTTGTCTCCATTGGGATGTGGGGATTCTTGTAATCTAGCCAAGGCTGGGATTCTTGTGGTCTGGCAGGTGGCTTACTAATGTTCAGACTCCTTGGGAGTCTGCCCAATGTGATGGGTGTTCTAATAGACCTTGTCTTTGGCTGAAAAAAAAAAGGGATTTGTTCTGTAAAACTTGGACTCAGTCAAAAGGCTATGCCCAAGGACCTAGAAGGCCACATGTGACCTGGAGGCTGCAGGTTCCCCACCCCTGGGGGAAGCAACTGAAGACGTCAGGTCAAGAGACTGGAAGACAAGTCAGGGAAGAGGTCTGTTTTCTGCCACTCTGGATGATCTGACCCCACCCCTCATTCAGGGGCAGGAGCATTGATTTCCACCAATAGGGAGAAAGTCCCATACCAATAGGCTTTGGGACTTGGGTTACCCAAGTATGATTAGTTACATTTTACTTTATTTATTCATTCATTCATTTATTTATTTGATTTTGGAGGTGACCACAATTTACTTTCTCCCCCAGTTGCTCTGTGATCTTGCACAGTGTCTTTACAAACTGCTGCATGTGGTAACCCCAGGCCCCAAGGAGAAAACAAGTTAAAGGAGGTGTAGTGACTTCCCCTTAGCCAGTGTAGTGGACCTTGAACCCAGATCTTATGTGCTCATAGGATTAGGAAGAGGCCTTCTAATACAAGCTCTTAATTTCACAAAAGAGGAAACTGAGGCCCTGGGAGGGGAAGGGATTTGTCCAAGATCACCAAGTAGCAAGTAATTCTGACTCCAAATCCTGACCTTTCCCCATTAAATCCAGTTTGCCTCCTCAGGAAGGAAGATGAATGAAGCATCTGTTAAGCACCTGCTGTGTGCCAAGCCCTATGCCAAGCCGGGTGGATCCAAACAGAAGAGTCAGACGGTCCCTGCCCTCGAAGAGCCCCCATTCTAACGGGGGAGGCCACACTTGGGGAAGGAGTCCGATGGAAGTCAAGGGCCCGGGGTCCTTAGGGTGGAGCAGCCAAGCAGGTGCTCCGGCCTGTTCTCTAATGTCACCTGTAGAATGGCAACAGGCTCCACTGTGGAGCCACTGGAGCCACTGGAGCACCATGGCCAGGACTTCCCTTTCTGAGACCTCAGGAGCTGTGGCCGGAGCCCCCGAGGGAGTTGGCTGTCCCCAGGGTTTGCTTCCCAGGAGGATGGCTGAGGGTCGGGGCTGGAAGCCTGGCTGGTCCCAAGGCCCTTGGGCTCAGGGGTCTGGCACATGCTGCCTCCTATTCTCCCTCAGGGGGCCTGGCTGCTTCAGCCAGGCTGGCTTGCCTGCCCTGTAGGTGGCAGGTGGTTGGCAGTTGGTGGGGATGGCTGGCCCCTTCTCCATAGAAGTTGCTTTCCTCTGTATGCCAGCCATGAGGGTCAGGGTAAAAGCAGGATCAGTGAGAGTGCTGCTACTCTCAGGGGTCCTGTAAATGTGTATCTGCCTGCAGTTGCTCAGCAGTTGTCGCTGGTGGTGTTGAGGAAGGTGGGCCCCCTTCCCACATGGATTTCTGCTCAATGATGGCTGTAAGGGCTGGCCTGGAAGCAGGGCTGGTGGCCTGGGGGACACTGCTCTTCCTGAGGCCCTTGGGCTCAGGGTCCTGAGCTGTCCCATCAGGCTCTGAAGAGAGATGGTGGTCCAGGGGATGGAGGTGGTCTGACTGGCCTGGCACATGCTCCTCTCTCTGTCTCTCTCTCTGTGCCTTGAGATTCAAGGAGAATGGGAAAGAAAGGAGAAAGGATTGGAAACTGAAGGACAGAATCAGAGTAGAGATGGAAAGAGTGGAGGAGGAAATGCCAGGAGAGAAATAATCAGGAAAGAAAGGGGGGGCAGCTAGGTGGCGCAGTGGATAGAGCACCGGCCCTGCATTCAGGAGGACCTGAGTTCAAATCTGCCATCAGACACATAACACTTACTAGCTGTGTGACCCTGGGCAAATCACTTTATCCCATTGCCTAGCCAAAAAAAAAGAAAGAAAGAGGAAGCGGGGAGTGAAAGAAGCAACATGGTGTAGTCCTAGGCACCCCTAGGCACACACATACACACACACACACCACACATGCAGAGTGGGTGTATTGGCAAAGCATTCACATTGGCCTTTCCTGAGACCTGAGTTTGAATCCTGTGTGACCCTGGGCAAATCACTAGCCACTGGGACTCCCTTTCCTCATTTGCCAAATGTGGTTATTGAACTCAATGCCCTATAAGATCCCTTCTAAATCTCTAAAGCCCCAATTCTAAATCTCAGATCCTATCAAAGAAGAGATGATCAGGAAAAGAGAAACCAAGAGGGGAAGGGGAGGGGGGAGAAGAGAAGGAAAGAGAAGGCAGGAAGGAGAAACTACAGGGCAGGGTAGGCAGGAAGGACATCAGGGCCTGATGGCAGGGTGGGCTTGGGCAGGGTGGCTACAGGCAAGGCAGTCTCCTCACAGGGAGCAGCCACCCCTCAGAGGACAAAGGCTCTGTAGGGTCTACCCAGCAACTTCTCCACATCCTGACGCTTCACCCTCCAGCAGGGGCCCCTAGACAGCAAAGCCTTCCCTGGGATGGCAGGGGCCAGAGGCATGTTGGGGCCATTCGGCCTCTCTAGCCAAGCCCCACTGACTGTTTGCTTCGCGAAGAGATCCGTGTGCTGGAATTGTCCTGTGGGAACACACAAGCAGAGACAGATTTGGTGTTATTCTTGGGGCTTGGAGGTTAGTCTCTCTTTCTAGGCCTCCTTTCATTTCCCTTCCAATCAATGGGGGTGATGATTCCTGTCCCACCCACCACCCAGATGAGATGAAACAAAGGGAGTCCCCAAGGGTTTGGTCAATCCAGAGACTTTTGCCAAGTATCGAGGGTTTTGCAAACCAGAAAAGGCTTTATTAGCCAAAAAAGGATCTTGAAAGCTGGAGTCAGACTTGGGGGGCTGTGGCCTGGTAGGAGCAGAGGAATGCATTTTGTGTGTGTATAAGAAGAGGCTGGAGAGGGAGGTTGAGGCTAGATAGCAAAAGGCCTTGGGTTCAAGGAGAGGAAGTAATGACAGCACCTTCTCACCCAGGAGGCCATGAGCAGAGTGGCTCAGGCCATGCCCATTGACTACATAGAAACCAAGATGGGGGAGCCTCAGGGGTGTGGGATGCCTGTCATGGTGCCTCCTGATAAGGAACTCAAGGTGCAGACTGAGATGGATGGTGAGGGTGCTCTTGTGCTGTAGAATCAGCTCCAGTCCAGGCCCATGCTGCAGGATGAGAAGAGGCTGGTCCCAGCTGAGTCTCTTTGTCGTGCCCTCCATCTCTAGGCTGATCTGGTGAGGGGTCACACGGACAACAAAAGTGTCCTGGCCTCTCCTCACAGCTACCATGATCCTGTCAAAGTGGGTGCGGGTCCGGTGCTCGTGGCCTGGCTTTGGAGGTGGCCACTGACCTGTAGCCCTGGAGTCAGGGGAGAGGTGGATGTTCCCTCAGATGCTCCCTGACCTCACAGGTTTTAAGCAATGATGGGGGAAGGACTGGGGAGGCTAGTTGGGCTGGAATCTAGGCTGGATCTCAAAGTGTGGATCCCCATCCACTGCAAGGCACAAAGACTGAGGAAGGAGTACAAAGAAAGCCACTGGGGGCTTCTTTTACCTGCTGGGCCCCCAGTTCCAACAGATAGCAAGCAAATGAGTTTCCTTACCTGAAGAGGAGAAGGTAAAAACCGATGGAGATTTCTGAGGCTCACCTTGAATCCCTGGGGGTTTAAAGGAAGAAGGATGAGGGTTGCTGGAGTCCCCAGTTTGTCTCTTTGCAGGAGAATTTTAACCTGCCCCCCAACCCCGACTTCTGCTGGGCCTTTGAGATTCTGTTGTGTGCCAGCATTTCTTGCTTTCCTTGAAAGTCTGGGACCTCCCTAAAGATTGGGCCCTGAAAGGCTAGCTTGGTAGGTTACCTATGAATGAACTCTTAACTAGCCCAGAGAGAAGTCAAGGTAACAAGCGTACCCCAACCCTTCTTCCCCTGCTTCTAACTCCCTGCCTCAAGCCTTTCGCCCAAAGACTGGTTTTTCCAAGTCCCAGAGACCCACAACCACAGAGGACCATTCTAGGACCCAGACCTTAAGCAAGGTACCCAGAGACACATTGTTACAGAGATACAGAAACAGTAACTCAAAGGCCTGGCAACCCCACAGAAACACACAAGTAGCAGAGATAGCAGAGAAAGGAGACATTATGAGACCCACAGAGAGACTGCCGTGTGTGTGTGTGTGTGTGTGTGTGTGTGTGTGTGTGTGTGTGTGTACCCAGAGAGCCATAATCACAGAGATGACCAGAGAGACCCAGGGACCCATAGACATATAATTATGAAGAGACCCACAGGCACACAAACGAGAAGCACCCAGACAATGACATTTGACAACTCAAGACACATGCAGAGACTTTCAAAGATCCAGGGACCCACAAGAGATATCCAGAGATATGAAGGGAGTCATTGAAAGACTCAGATTTCTACAGAAATATCTAGAGATACACAGAGACAATCATTCAGAGACTCTTAGAGAGGTACACTGACATAGAGCTACACTTGGGAAGTGACATTCAAAGCCCCAGAGGTCCTACAAGCAAGGACAGATTCTGAACCTTGAGAGACTTGGAAGAAGGTTCATGCTGGGGGGCAAGGGCAGGGAGAGCCTGTAGGGGCTGGACCAATGACTCACTACATCTGTTCCCTTGGCTGTGGCTGTTGGGGAAGGTGTAGCTAGCTGGAGGCTGCAAGGACTTGGAGAATCCAGAATCTCGCAGGGTTTCCAGAAGTTGTCCTGGCTCCTCAGGGAGAACGAGGACACTGATGATCTCAGGTGTGCTCAAGTTATGGGGAGGTGGGGGGCTCAGGATAGAGAGGGAGGAGGAACCAGGTCTGGGGGAAGACTGGGAGTTAGGACTAGACTGGGCAAGAACATGAAGACTGGGGTGCAATAGTTCTCCAGTTTGGGGGAGAGATGGGGAACCAAGTTGGAGGGCAGATGAGGGGCGAGGGTTCCATGCCTTCGAAAAATCGGGACTTGCTGTGATATTTTGGGCAAACAGAATGGAAGGTCCAGGGAGTGATGGGGAGCTTAGCACATGGGAAGCTAGCAGATCCCATTTGGGGGGAGTATGCTGGGATGGGACATTTGGGTTAGATTGTGGCAGAACTTGGGTTTTAGGGGGAGATGAGGAACTGGGTTTGTGGGGATTGAATGTCAGATTTGGAGGACCTGGGGAGCCAGGTCTGGGGGGAAACTGGGAGCTAGACTTATAGGGGGACAAGGTGTTAGATTTGGGGGAGGATGGATTGTGTTGGGATAGGATGTTTGGTTTGGGAGATGATGGGGCTCGAGTTCTGGGGAAAGAAAGATGACCCAGTTTGGGAGGAAATAGGGTGCTTGGTTTGGGGAAATAGGAAGAGTTAGAGTTTGGAGTGTTGACATTTGGGTGGGATCTAGGTTTAGGGGGACCTGGAGAAACATGTTTTTGGAGAGATGAGGATAATGAAATGTCAGGATTTAGGTGAACCAAGGAGTCAGTTCTGGGGAGAGATGGGGAAACAGCCCTGGGAGGAGATGGGGAGCTCAGTGGCCAATTAAAGGCTAACAAGATGTTAGGACTTGGGTGAATTTGGGTGCTGGGTTTAGGGGTGGTTAGGGAGCCGGATCTAGGGGGAGCCAGGGAGCCAGGATTATACCAAGATGAACTGCTTGGTTTGAGATGCAATAGAGCTCCAGCTTGGGGGGAGGTCAGGAGAGATGGGGTGACAGAAGTCAGGTGAGTGATGGAGCCCACTCTGGGAGGAGAAAAGGAGCCGGTCTTGGGCAATGAAGATGCTGTGGGTTTCACAGGCAATGCTTCCCCATGAGTTAGGTGCACCCAAGGCACAGGTGGAGTCAGATTCTGTTTGATCACCCTGGGGCTCCCCACTTTGGCTGCAGATGAGGGCCCAGGTGAAGTGGTGGTGAATTTTGCCCCCTGGAGCAGGGGCTCAGTGAGGCCAGTAAGGGTAGGAGGTCTTGGGGACTTCCTGGGATCTGTGGGCTGGTCTATGGCTGCCAGGGCTGGAGGTGGGCCCTGCTCCCCTTTGGCTTCCTCCTCTGGCTTCACTACAAGTGAGGTCAGGGGCATCACAAAATGGAAATGCAGAGAGGTTGAGGGCCTTTTCCATCAGCAGTCTGCGGGTGGCTGAGTCATTGGCCCCAAGGCGAGCTTCCAGCAAGCCCCGGATGGTCACATAGGCCCAAAGGCGCTGGAGGAAGCCTTGGCCCGGGCTTAGCTCCCCATGGGACAGGCAGCCAAATGCTGACTTGGTGCCACTGGCAGCCTCCTCACTCTGGGATGCTGTGAGCAGGTGGTTGTGTGGGCCCAGGGCCTCCAAGTGTACCTGGAACTCAGGCTCTCCCTGACCTAACTGGCCTACCACCACCAGCTCAGAGCCCCAGAAGTAGTTGGGGAAGTGGCTCCCTGCTGGTTTGGCCCTCCCAGCTTGCCTGGCCTGGTAGTGGAAGCGGATGTCAGACAGCAGAGGGGAGGCGATGCGGTCATAGAAGCCTTTGAGCTGCAGGGCAGCATCCTGGTCCTCTTGGATGCAATGGACTGTGCCTCGGTTCTCCAGTGAGAGGCGACGTAGAAGGGGCAGGTTGGCATCGTCACCCAAAGCTAGGCCAAACAGGGCTGCCTGTCGAGGATGTGGGTAGGTGAGGTCACTCCTGCTGTGGGCTCCCCATCCGTGAGGAAGATGACCAGGCGAGCCTCTCCTGAGGGCCCTGCAATGCTCCGGTTCAGTATGGAGGCTGCTGCCAGGAGAGCTGCATTCATGTCTGTCCCTGGGGGAAGACAGAGGCCTGGCATGAGTAGCCAGCTCCCCACCCCCACCCCACCCCCTACCTCCCCCCAGCTTGCCCATTGCCTCTGGGGTGGGCCACCTTCCCCTCCCCACCCCAGTTCTAATGACACCTCCTGCAGAAAGCCTTCCAGGACTTCTCTTTGCCTCACCCTTAGGCCCCTTGGCCTGTCTCATTCTCTAGTCAGCTTAATGGGATTGAGTCTCATCTCTCTGGATAGACCAAGTCTCTCAGTCTCTGGCTTTCCGATGGGTGTCATTCCTGGCACCCTAGTCAACTGGGATGAGATTGAGCTCCCTGCCATCTTTCATCCTCTTCTTCATGAGGCCAACACTCTTAGCTCACCAGATGGCTGTGAGGGATTGAGCCATCCTTATCCTGTCTTGTTCTCAAATTATTCTATTTTTGTGTTACAGAGGGGCAAAGTGAGGCCTGGAGAGAGCTGTAGGATGTCAGGATGAATGAAAAAGGGGATGGGGTCTTTGAAATCATCACAGGAGGACTTAGGGTCACAGCATGTCAGAGAAGAGAGGGGCCTTGGAGATCACCTACTCTGACTCTGCCCCTCCCCGTAATCCCAGACCCTCCTCACCATCTGTTTATCAAGGGGAAAGGATTTAGGGTCATGGAGTGGGAGAGTGTGAACGCACATGAGACAGCCAGCAGTCCCACTTCCTTACATTACAGAACAGGACAGTGAAGCCCAACAGTGAAAACATGAAGCTCAAATAAGGACATTTTCAGGGCTACCAGCAGTCAGGGGTCTTCAGCAAATAGCATTGACTTCAGAGATCTGGTGCTTGGCAATCTCCGGAGGGGGTTGACTGGGGTGGGGAGGATTGAAGGGGAACTCATATACGAACATCTGCCCACCTCCATTCTGCCAACGTAGGCCTTGGCCCTTTGTATGTTTGGGGGTATGGCCTGAATGGAACCAGCAGCCTTCCAGAAGTGGACAGTGTCAGAGAAGGTCACGATGTTGAAATAGTCCTCTGGGTACAGGTCCCCCAGGATCACATGCATAGCCTTCTTAGTCTGCAGCAGTCAAGATATGGATAGAAACCATGTTTAAGATCATGTTTCAGATCACTGTATCTGCCATACAGGCAGCTAGGTGCCGCTGCAGTGGTCAGAGAACCAGCCCTGGAGTCAGGAGGACCTGAGTTCAAATTTGGCCTCAGACATTTAGTAACTGTGTGACCCTGGGCAAGTCACTTAACCCCATTTGCCTCAGTTTTCTCCTCTATAAAACGAGCTGGAGAAGGAAATGGCCAACCACTCCAGTATCTGTGCCAAGAAAACCCCAAATGGGGTCAGGAAGAGTCGGACATGACTGAAACTACTCAATAACAACCACAACCATCTGCCATCCAGTCTTTTTCTCTCCCCACCTGCCTCCCCTTCATGCCTGCTTCTTTCAGGCAGCGCTCCCTGATTACCCTTAGGCCATCATGTTCTCTCCTTCCTTACTGACTCAAGTTTAGAACACTAAGAGCCATCTTTCAATTGAGAAATGCTCAAAGGATATGAATCAGCAATTTTTTTTTTTAGGTAATTGGGGTTAAGTGACTTGCCCAGGGTCACACAGCTAGTACGTGTCAAATGTTTGGTCTGAGGTCACATTTGAACACAGGTCCTTCTGACTTCAGGGCCAGTGCTCTATCCACTGCGCCACCTAGCTGCCCCTTGAATTGGCAATTTTCAAAGGAAGAAATTTAAACTAGCAATGACCATATGAAAAAATGTTCCGAATCACTAATAATTAAAGAAATGCAAATTAAAGCAACATTGAGGTTCCGTCTCACATTCACCACATGGGAAAAGTTGGTAAAAAAGGAAAACGGCAAATGCTGGAGGGACCAGGGGAAAACAGGCATACTTGTGCCCTGTTGGCATAACTGTGAATCGGTTCAGCTGTTCTGGAAAACAATTTGGAACTCTGACCCAAAAGTTATTGCACCGTGCATACCCTGTGACCCAGCATACTCAGTGACCCATACCAGGCCCAGACCCCCCCAAAAAAAGCAAGGAAAGAGGAAAAAAGAGCCATAAGAACAAAAATATTTTTGTAGTAGCAAGAAACTGGAAAGTAAGGGGCGCCTACCTATTGGAGAACAGCTGAACATATTATGGCATATGGATGTAATGGAATGACAAAATGGACAGTTTCAGAGGAAACTGGGCAGACCTCTGTGAAGGGATGGCAGAGTGAGGAGAGCAGAGCTGAGAGAACAGTGTATAGACTGACAACATTATGGAGGAAAATGACTTTGAAAGACTTTTGAGCCCTGAGTCTAGAGAAGTTTCAAACTCTTATATCGGAGCCTGCAAGTGGCTTGCAAGATGATGGACTCAAAATGAAGGATGAGAAATACATACATACACACATAGTACACATACATGCGCACATACATACACACACACATACATGCATATGTATGTACGTGCATACATACATACATTTTGGGACATGGCCAACATAGGACTTTGTTTTGTTTGACCATGCAAACTTGTTATGAGGGTTTAATTTGATTGTATTTTAATGGTTCAGTTAGGGTGCAGTAGGAGATAAGAGATAAGAAATGCTTGTATAACTACCTACCTATCTAATAGATTGCCCCCTCCTCTGAGTTCTTATGGAGCTCAACACTCCAATAACAATCATACTTACAACTAGCATTTATGTAGCATTTTAAGTTAGCAAAATGCTTTACAAACATCCCGTTGTTTTATCCTCACAATAACTCTGGGAGGTAGGTGCTCTTATTATCCCTACCTTTTTCCTTTTTTTTTTTTTTCTCCAGTGAGACAATTAGGGTTAAGTGACTTGCCCTGTCAAGTGTCTGGTTTGAGACCAGATTTGAACTCGGGTCCTCCTGACTCCAGGGCCAGTGTTCTGTCCATTGCACCACCTAGCTGCCCCATCCCTGTCTTACAGACAAGGAAATGGAGGCTGTCAGAGGTTAAGTGACTTAGCCAATGTCATCCAGCTAGTAAGCACTTCAGGTAGAACTTGAACTCAGGCCTTTTTGATTCTGCCTCAGAACTCTATCCACTGTGGTGCCCCCTAGTTGTGATACACTGTGCTCCAATTATCCTTCCTCTTTTGGGTCTTATGGACCAAGACTACATGCAAGTTACCCTGTGGACACATAGTAATCTTGTAGTCCACCAACCCTAACTCTAACCCTGACCCTAATCCTAGACCAGGAGTGGCGAACTTGTGGCTTTGAGGCCACACATGGCCCTCTAGATCCTCAAGAGCGGCCCTCTAACTGAATCCAAACTTCACGGAACAAATATCTTTCCTTGAGCAATTCAATTTGAAACCTAATTATAGCATTTTAAGTTCATTCCTAGCTCCCAGCCTTGGCTTCCTCCCCTGTCCAATGAGGGGGTTGGGCCCGAGGGCCTCTAACGCCCCTTCTAGGCCTAAGTCCAGGACCCTCAGAATCACTGAACCTCACAATCCTTATTGAACCCCCAGATCTTTTGCAGGTGAAGATAGAACTGACCATGTCTCCCCCACCTTGTACCTGGGAAACTGATTTTTTTAATCCAAAGTATAAGACATTTATCTGTTAAGTTTCATCTTATAGTCAACTCTCTGTTCTAGCCTTCAAAAATCTTTTGGGCTGTGACTGTTGTCCAAAGAGTATCTACCTCAGTCAGTCAATAAACATTAAATGCGCGCTGTGTGCCAGGCATTTTGCTCTTTCAGCCTTGTGTGCACACATATGTTTGTGTATGTGTGTGGCATGTGCATGTGGGTGTGTATTGTACAGTGTGCATTTGCACATGTATGTTTGTGTGTGGACCCATGTACATGCATATTTATTGTATGTAGTATGTGGTGTATGTATTTGAGTGAATGTGTTGGTGTATTTGTGTGTGGTATGTTATGCATATATGTGTGTTTGTGTGTGGTGGGTGTATGTGTGTGTTTTACCAGACCTGAGATTTCATAAGTCTAGGGAAGTGGTTCTGTAAGTGTGGTCTCCAGTCTTGACTCTGTGAGGTCTAAAGGATTTTGAGAATGCTCCTAAAACATCTGAATTTTGAATGTGGTAAATACTGATAACTGTAACCCTCATAAACAAAAATGAGTGGGGGGAGGCTCTAATATTTTGTAAGAGCATGAAGGGGCTTGAAGACCCCCAAATTGGAGGACCACTGCTCCAGTGTGTGGTCTCCTATCACTTCTCTACAACATAGTCTTACAGAGTTGCCTTGCACTGAGAGATCCAGTTAGTTGGCCGGGGTCATAGAGCCCACTGGTGTGTGATTTGGGACCCAGATCAGAGTCTTCTTTGATTCCCAAACCAGTTCACTGGCCACTCTACCAGGTTGCCTCTTTAGTAACTGTAGAAATGAGGTAGTTTGGAATGATGTGTTCTTTATAAAGACTCTTAATAACCCTTGCTTCCCCTTCTAGCTGCCCATTAGCTGGCCCCTAAATAATGTGTTTTGCGTTTTTGCTAGGAATCCAAGTCAAGTTCTTTAGCCAATAGGTCAAAGATTTTTTTCTTTCCTGTTTTGAAAATCAATTCAACACCTCTTCCAATCTCCACAGATGGAGAATGAATGGCTCAGCCAGTTCTTTCAGTACCTTGAACAGCGATTCATCAGCATTTCAGGACTTGAACTCTTCAAAGGGCAACTAGGTTGGCCATCTCACTCCAGTCCCTACTTATCTTGACCTTAATCTCACTGGGAAGGGGGGTGGGGAAGAGTGCTTTGTTGCTCTATCCTGTCTGGTTCAAAGATTACTCTTCTGGCAGAAAAGAAAGAGAAGCAAAATAACACTTGAATAATTCTGCCTTTGGGGCAGATGTAGTTCAGTCCATACAGCTCCTCAGAGGCTGAAGGCCCATTTGGAGTGGAGCTGCCTGGACAGGCAAGGGTTGCATTCCATTACTTTGAGAGGGGCTTTCTAACTGGAATTCCGTCTATGCCCCTCTTACTCACACTCTAGAATCCAGAACTGGAATTCTGGAAGATTTGTCCAATAGTCTCCCCCCCCCCCCCCGCCCCCCGGCAATTGTTACCTGTTTCAGTTTTGTTCCAGTCATAGAGCCACTGACATTGATAACAAAGATGATGTTTTTCTGCATATGAGGTAGGCCTCTGGGGGCAAAATAGTGAACAAAATAGCCATTGTAGATCTGGGGGGAGACCAAAAGAGACAGAGAGAGACACACACAATGTTAGAGAGACAGAGACAGAGACAGAAGCACATGAAGATAGAGAGATAAAGACAAAAACAGAGACAGAGAGAAGTACAGAAACAGAGAGAAGGATACACATGCATGCACACAGAGAGAGAAGGAGAGGGAAAAGGAGGGGAGAGAGAGCGCTGGGGACTAGGAGCCAATGTAGAGAGGCTGGGAGACAGAGAAGCCTGGAAGAGCATCACAGTTTTCGTTGTTCCACCCTCAACGCTTTTAAGAAGTCCTAGGAGATTAAGAACCTGGTTCCAAGGTCAGCAGATGAAATAACGTATGCTATGAGAGCTAGGTTCAAGGTTAGGGGTGATGATGCTCTCAAGACTAAATGTGGATGGTAAGTATAAGGCAGGCTCCCTTCAGTGCATTCCTGACTGAAGGCCCAGATCACCTGCACATTACCAATGACGTCCTTCATAGTCACATCATATTGAATCACAAAGTCCCCCACAATGCCCTGGCTGGAGTAGGCAGCTTGTTCACTTGGTGTTGGTGTGAAGGTGATCCGTGCGCAGGTCTCCTTCTTTTCAATCCTGGTGGATGTTGGCAAGTCAGTCTCACCTATATGGGGTGATTAATGATGAGAAGAAAGGAGCCACTCAGCCCAGGTCCAGAGGTCTAAGTGAGGAAGGGGTGCAATTGGGAGAGAGGGAGGTTGGTCCTCCATTCATCCATTTCCTCCTCTCCAGGTCCTCATTTCACCTTTGGCTTTGGCTATTGCCCCTGCTGCTGACCTCCCCCCCCACCCCATCCCAGTTGTCCACTATCCCTCTCTGAGTCTGAGCTCTTGACTATACAGTGGCCCATCTGGTTCTCTGACCATTTCATAAGATATGGGAGGACAAATCTCATCTCTCCCACCCCTTCCCATAGGACTGAGAATTCTCTGAAGTTGGGGCTTTGCCCTATGTAGATTTTTCTTTTTCTGCTTTCCTGATTCCTCCCTCCTCCCTCACCTCCATCCCTTCCCAACCCAACAACTGTGCTTCAAGGACCAAAAAAACAAAGTCCTCTTTGAGTTCTATCCCCAGAAAAAATGCAGCTCATTTCTTTCTGTGGGCAAATTTGGCTTGACAGAAGATGAACACTTATCCTAATCTTATCCTGGTCTCAGTGTCCAAGAAGCTCAGAACCAAAGTCAATTCACAGTCACAGCAATCAGCTTAGGCCAGGTGACTGATAACATTTCTCTCCTCCTAACCCATCTCCTGTCCCAGATCTCTTCCTTCTCCTATCCATGCCACTGCCCTGCTCCAAACCTTTCATGGCCCTACAGGCTGGTGTCCCCTCCACTCCAGCCTCGCCCCTTTCCAGCTTGTATAAATTCCACCTTCCAGTCAAATTGTACTCCTAACCGGCCAGGTCCTGTGCTTCATAGTCTATCTCTGTCTCCATGATTTTGCCTAGTAAGGTGACACAGTGGATAGAGCACTAAGCTTGGAGACAGGAAGACCCGAGTTCAAATCTGGCCTCAGGCACTTCCTAGCTGTGTGATCCTAGGCAAATCACTGGGCAAACCTCTGTTTGCCTCAGTTTCCTCAGTAGGGATCATAACAGCCCTTACCTCCCAGGGTTTTTTTTTATGATCAGATGAGATAATAATTGTAAAGGACTTGACACATAGTAAGTCCCTTATAAATGTTAGTTATTATTATTGTTATTATTAGTTGTGGTAGTAGCAGTAGTAGTAGTAGTAATAGTAGTAGTATCAGTATTTGCACAAGCCATTCCACATGCCTGGAATTCACTTCTTCTGCTTTTCTGCCTCTCAATCAGTTAGAAAACCAAACCAAACTGGCAACAGTTTCTGTCCTCAAGGAGTTAACCCCAAGCTTAGCATGGGGGCAACACATACAGACATGGAGCTACACAGAAGAGACACAAGCAACTTCTAGAAGTGGAATTAGGGTTAGAAAGTGATGAAGAAAGAACCATGCCTTAGTCACACTTTGAAGTCGAATGTACATCCTTGTCATTCTCTCCATCATTTTCTTAGGAAAGCACACTTAACACAAGATTTATCAAGCTCCAGCTTAAGGTGCCAGTGCTCACGCTGAGTATTTAATAACCAGCTCTTGTGAGATGGCATGAGCTGGGTCGGGCCCAACCCCAGATACCCCAAGGGTCATTTTGGGGAGCTGCTAGTAGCCAAAGGCATCAGGAATTAGGGTTCATGTAGAAGGTGGAGTTCAGACTGAGTCTTGAAGAAATCTAAGGATTCTAAGAGGTGGAAGAGAAGAGAGACAGCAGCAGGCTAGGTGTGGGGAACAGCCTTGCAAAAGTTTGGAGTTGGGAGATGGGATGTTGTGCGAGGAACAGCAAGTCAGGCAGCATTGCTGGACCGTAGCATGTGTGAAGGGAAGCGATGTGTAATTAAGCTGGTAAGAGAAAAAAAATCCAGGTGGTGAAGGGCTTTAAATGCCCAACAAAGGGGGATTATGGGTAGATGGCAACATGCCGCAATGTAGCAAACACCCCATTGAGGTTTCGAATTGCATCAGTCTAAATAGAAATAAGAATAACCTATAGATTCTTCTTCCACCCAACCCTGAATTAGACAAGCCAGGGTGGGTAGAAAGGGGAGCGTGAAGCAGTGGTGGTTCCAGCAGGGAGCCCTCAAGGGGGGGGCACTGATGGGAGAAGGGTTCTAGGCCAAGGTCTTCTTTGCCTGTGGTGGGAGGCTAGCATGCTCTCTAGAGGACCTGTGGCAAGAGCCCCCATGCAGAGCCCACAGAGGAGCAATCCTGAAGTTCCTTGAAGAAGGGGCCTCATCTTGCCCACCATGCTCAGAACTAAGCAGAACTTTCCCCAACCACAGGTCCCCCAACTTAGATACTGAGGCCGACAAAATGAACAATCCAAGGAAAACCATGACCGAAAATCTTGGTTTGAGAGATTTCCAGAGAGGCATCTAAACATAGGTAAATACTGAAGAGAATAGTGACTCCCACAACAAACCTGGGGAAAGATTTGAAAGATCCCTGAGTAAAGAAATGAAACAAGAGGTACAAAGTGGAATAGCTAGGGAGGAAACGATGGCAAGTAGAACAGATGCTCACGCCTCTCCTTGTAGTTGGGTTGCCTCTCAAGCACCTAGAAAGGCTTGCTGGGACTGGGTCGAGCCTGCAACAGGCTCTAGCAGATTTCCCTCTTGACAAGGGACACCTTGTTGGGAACTTCTGCGGGTTTTTTCTCCCTCACCAGGATCCTGGTTGAGGCGAGTAGACTACAGGAGCCAGTCCTTTTTTTTTTTTTTTAAGCTTATAGGCAAAGAGGATGGGTAAATCTCCCTCTACACCTTGAGATTTGCCCTTAGGTTATCTTTTACAGAACTGGAGAAAGCTCAGTCTCCAAGACCTTAAGGAAAATTTTGCCTAGTCTCCATACGATCTGGAGAACCATGAAAAAATTGTCTGATTTGTGCAGGGGATTTCTGACAAGTCTCTCTCAGCTTTTGGATTCTCCCTGTCATTACCATGTATCTGTTCTGTATTTGTGTCTGTGTGTGGTGTGAGTGAGGGTCCGTGTGTGATTTGACACCCTTTGCAGCTAGGTATCAAGAGTAGCATCCCAAGACTGTAGCTAGACTCTGGAATGCTGCTTTCTTTCTCTCCCCTTCTCCCTCCCTGAAAATAGTAGTCTCAGAGGAGTGGGTGGATGGGAGAGAGAAAGAGAAAAATACTCTATTATTTAGAGTATTATGATTAGTAAAAAGCAAGTTGAGAAGGATCCTCGAAGTGTCAGGTCAGAATTAGAAAGAAATAAGATATGTGCAGTTTTAAAGGGACTTTAATCAAAATCAATCAGAGGGATAGGTAGGTAGAAGGAAAGGCAAGAAAGTTTAAGCATGTAGGAATGAGAGAAGTTAGGGTAGAAAGAAAAGCATAAGCTATTTACACGAACAGTGTGAACAGAGGGTTTGAGAGTAAAAGTTTTGAAAGTTTTGGAGAATTGTTGGGAAAATGTATGGATCTGAAATTTGTTAAAGGCGTGACATTAAGCAAGTTATCTCAGTTTATCTCACATGATTAGAAGGTGCCTAACACAATGCCTGGCAGAGGGCAGACACTATAAATGTTAACTACTATTATTATTAGTTCCTTAATTAGATGTGGCCAGTATACAATGCCAATGGTGATGACATGCTGGATTTTCTATATAAGGAAGTTTGGAAATGAAGTCGACAGAGTTGGAGTCGCCTGATTAGTAATGTGTTTGTTTCAAGTTTTAAACATCTAGTATTGTTTCAGATTGGTAAACTTTTGTATCAGTTATGTCAATCAGCTTTTCATAATTTGGATATTATTAAAGTGTGAACTGAAAGAAACTAAAGAATGGTGGAAAAATTGTGTAAAACCAGTTATGTTACTTTGTCAGCCCTGCTAACCCTGTCTTATAATGTTTGATAACTGCCATTTAGAAAATTAGGTATTCCCACCTTTACCTGTAATTAAAGAAGGGCTTTTACAGCTAAAACAATTTGACTATCACTTATGAAAGTTATAGGATTGTTAACTAAGTTATTTGAAGTTACTGTTTTAATGTTAAAACCTAGACTTGTTAATTGATTACTGTGTGAAAAAGAGAGGTTTGGGTAAAAGCTTTATCCAGATTGGTTCTGCCCATTCCAAACAGCCCTTCTTGGGATATGGAGGTTGGCAGGCAGGGGCATCAGGATCAGCCCCTCCATAGGGTACATGGCAATTCCCCTTATTTTGTAAACCTGCCAAGGTCCCTGGAAACCATCTGTGTGGGCAAGGTCATCTGCTCTGAGAAAAAAAAAAAACGACTTGTTTGGAGTTCCTAAGCAATGAACTTAGCTTGCTGAGAATTTGCAAGTGTATAGAAATGATTTCTAATGATTGGCTTTTACACCAGGACAAGTTTAAATTTGAGAAGGAAAGATGTAAAGTGAAGTCTCTTAGGTATGTGAGTCCTGGTAATTCTTTATTGCTTATTGCAACTCCATGAGAGTAAAATTAACTGTATCTGGCTTTAAGTTGTGATTAGTGAAACTTGCTGTTTGAGGTAAAAGTTCTTGGGACTACAGCTAATTTTGTTTTGAGTTTGAATTTGGGTATAGTTGTCTGCATTAAATCAGTATCTGAGAGAAATGCCACAAGCTACTAACAAGTGGAGGTCTACTCAGAGGGAATGTGATTCATTTGGGAAAAGCCGTGAGGACAATCTTAGCCTCAATCTAGGATGGGATCGTCCTGGCTCAGTTTCCCCATTGTGTTCCTTTGAGAAGGAATGTTTCCCACCTGACTATTCCTGAGTCTGGCTATGTTGTGAAATTGATACTGCGTGATTGTAGAACTGTGACTGTTATCTGATTTCAAACACAGCTAAGGATATTCTATCTTGTCATATTTGGTATGTCACATGTCCCTGCCTTTTTCTTTTATAGCAGATTTCTCTGATCAGAGCAAGTGATCAGTAAAAGACATGAGCACAATATAAGTATGTGAGATCTTGCTGTTTTGATCTGAATTTGTAGTCATTCTGTGGCCTAAGCAAGAGTAAAATTAGTGTTTGAATTTATCATATGTAAAAGATTC